AGAACTTCCCGTACCTGGGAAGTACCCTATCTCGCAACACAAAGATCGATGACGAAGTCGCCAACCGAATCTCGAAAGCCAGTCAAGCCTTCGGACGCCTCCAAAGCACAGTTTGGAATCGCCACGGTCTCCAACTGAGCACAAAGCTGAAGATGTACAAGGCCGTCATCCTGCCGACGCTACTGTATGGAGCGGAGACTTGGACGGTGGCAGGCACGTCGACTGAATCACTTCCACCTCAGTTGTCTTCGACGCATCCTGAGGCTGAACTGGCAGGATCGAATCCCCGACACGGAAGTGCTGGAACGGACGGGAATCCTGAGCATCTACTCCATGTTGAGACAAATGCAGCTGCGCTGGAGTGGCCACCTGGTGCGCATGGACGACGAGCGACGACCCAAACGACTCTTCTACGGAGACGTCGCGACGGGTTCTCGTCGTCAAGGAGGCCAGATTCGCCGTAACAAGGATACCCTGAAGTCCTCCATGAAGCGCCTGCAAATCTACCCGACCAACTGGGAAGATCTCGCCCGCGATCGTCCGACATGGAGGAGAACATTGAAGACGGGCGCTGCTATCTATGAAGCCAACCGAATCGCCGCCGCCAAAGCGAAACGCGAAGCCCGCAAATCTTAACTTCGCCCAGTCCGCAACGCCGCCGCACAACCGATCCCAACGTGTCCTCGATGTCAACGGACATTCCGGGCACGAATCGGACTTGTTGGACATCTCCGAACCAACTGCACCTTTCGAACTGCTCCAGCCATCGTCCCCCAGCCCGTCGTTCCCTCGTCCTCTCTTCCGCCAACTAACTCTGACACTCCTTCTGCACCACCACTTCCATCCTCCTCCTTCTCCTCCACTGCCCCAGCGGCGGCCGTTCAGGCTGCCGTCTCACACATCGCCAACCACGACACAACAACCGCAACCACCCCCACCCCTCCCGATTACAGTGATGAGGATCAGGACTACACCTGCCCTCACTGTGACCGCACCTTCACCTCACACATCGGCCTGGTCGGTCACTTGCGAATCCATCGCACAGAGACTGGCGAACCAGTGCCTGGAGCACCAACCTACACCCACCGCACTCGCCTCCACTGCCCACAATGCCCTCGCACCTTCACTCATCGCATGGGTCTATTCGGCCACATGCGCATCCACGAGAGCGGAATTGACCGCAGCCTTGACACACCCACCCCGCCAAGCCCCACTCCCAATCCACCACCTTGTGCACCCACTAACCACTCCCCAGCCGATATCGACGCCACCGACCTTACCACCCTCCACTCCTCCCCTTCCTCCACATGTTCCTCCATCACTGCCACAACGACGGCCGCTTCGGCGTCTGTCGCCCACGACTTCACCACAGCCGAACCTTACACAACAACCGGCACAACCCCTGCAACCTCCATCATCAGACGTGAGGGCCAGGACTACATTTGCCCTCACTGTGATCGCACTTTCACTTCACGCATCGGCCTGGTCGGTCACTTGCGAATCCTTGAATGAATATTTCCCCGGAATGAATTTGAAGCAAGCAAGGACAGCAGAATTTAATGGCACCACAAAATTTCGCGACCGCAGAGTACACGTTGACCTTGCTGTTTTACATCGATTTTCTCTGTCAAAATTCAAACCTTTGTACCTTTCTCACTTGTTATTTCTGTTATGCAACGACCGGCAGCAGTTGAGAAGCGGTCGCGAAATTTTGTGGTGCCATTAAATTCTGCTGTCCTTGCTTGCTTCAAACTTGCGAATCCATCGCACAGAGACTGGCGAACCAGTGCCTGGAGCACCAACCTACACTCACCGCACTCGCCTCCACTGCCCACACTGCCCTCGCACCTTCACGCATCGCATGGGTCTATTCGGCCACATGCGCATCCACGAGAGCGGAATTGACCACAATTCCGATACAGCCACGACATCCAACACATCCACCACGCCCAGACCAATCCTCGCTTCACCGTCACACGCGTCGACCACCACCACCACCGCCACCACCACCAACACCACTGCTTCCTCTGCAGCTGACACCGACACCGCCAACCTCTCATGCCCATACTGTCCACGCACATTCACCTCACACATCGGCCTGGTCGGTCACTTGCGAATCCATCGCACAGAGACTGGCGAACCAGTGCCTGGAGCACCAACCTACACCCACCGCACTCGCCTCCACTGCCCACAATGCCCTCGCACCTTCACGCATCGCATGGGTCTATTCGGCCACATGCGCATCCACGACGACCTGCGGTAGACAACCGCCGGTCACACCACACATCCCCTCACTCCCTACCTCCTAACACCATCACCCCACCAGACATCAACCCCCACACACCTCATGCACTCAACTGCCGCCTCCCCCGCAAGTGGGAAGTGTGCATCTCGACTCGGTCCCCATGAGGTTTCGGCTGCACGGGTGACTTGTGTCCGAGACTATCCCGACACGTCAAGTGTCGTGGATAGGAAGGTTGCTGATTGAGGCCCGCTCTCGGTTCACGCAGTTCGTCACGTTGTGTGTGTGTGTTGTGTAGTGGCGGACTGGTGGGCTGGGGACGGGCTGAAGCAGCACCTTCCACGGCCCTCTCACGCATGTGAGAGTCACGCCGTTCAACCCCCGTTGTGTGAAATCCTGGTGTTTGTGTGTATGGGGAGCCAGGTCGTGCTGTGGCGCGCGCAGGCATGGTGAGTCGACCATGTCAGCCACCGCGCCCATTCCCCACTCCAGTCTGCTGACCGGCTCGGACAGTGGCTGGGGTGTGGGAATGGGAAGGGAGAGTGAGGTCGACGACTCAGCGCACTTTCTCCTCACTATAATCAATCTGACGCGCTTGAATCTATCACGGTGCGCTAAAAGCCGTGGCTTGGAAGGTTGCCAACTGACGGGATACCTTGGACCTCCTCCTTCACTGGAGGCGGTCTGAGAGTCAGGCTGCAATGGCTCCTTTTTAATGTGGCCTTTATGGCACTCTCACCACA